GCACAGCAGGCCGCGTGCCCGCCTAGGGGCTGCAAGCACACCAGGCCGCGTGCCTGCCTACGGGCTGGATTTGGGCAGAGCAGCAGCCCCAGCAGAAGTGCTTTAGTCCCCATCTCCCCAATTTTTACAGAATTGGGGGACAAGGAAGGACACTAACATTTATAACTCTTATCCATTCATTTATTCATTCTTTAACTCAAAAACCTGCTCCTGAATGCCAGGCTTCTTGCGGGGCAGGCATTGTCTCATTTAATCCCCCAAATGAACATCCTAGCAAGGCCGGTGCCTGGTTTTGCAGACCTGAGAAATGGAGGCTCAGAGAGGGGAGGGACTTGCTCAAGGTAACACACCCACCCCCCTCTGCCCCAGGCCACTTCCCAGGAGTGCAGGCCCGCTGGCTGGTGGCCGGCTGCAGAGAGCAGAGGTTAGAAGCATGGCGTGGAAACCAGGCTTCAGTTCTTGGCTCTCCTTCAATAGAAGTGTGACCTTGATGTTCACATTCGTGCAATGGGTTAGTAATAGCATCTCTCTGAGAGGCTGTTGCAAGGTTGATGGTGATGAGGCATATGAATGACTGGGCTGAGCAAGGGCTCAGAGCACTTGAGCATCACCTGATCGCTCTTCCCCCAAAGTGTCAAGCTCAAGCGCCCGGTGCAGACGCCTCAGCCATGTCTGGGCTCCCTTACTCAGGAAGCAGCAAGTACCGATCACTCAGCTCCCCTTCCTGAGACGCTGCTCGGCCCCAGGCCCTGGGTGGGGCACAGGATGGGAAGACAGTCTATGCCTTCAGGCCGTCACACCTGGTGGGGAAAGGGGTGCAGGCAGGGGACACACATCAGAATGTACCAGGTGCTGTTATAGAAACTGATTGTAACAGTGGTCTCCACCTCACCCTCTTTTGCTGAGTTACCATGTGTCATTTATTGCTCAGCACTTCTTAGTATTAAAAATTATCTTGTGTGCTCATTGGTTGGCTTGCTTGTCCTCTGTCTTCATCACTAAGCACACTTTCCGCCACTCCCCCTCACAGGCCAGCACAGTGCCTGGCATTAGTAGGCACTCAGTGAATATTGGCCA